GTAAAATGATGTAGCTGCTTTAGAAAAGAGTTGACAGTTCCTTAAAATGTTATCAGAGAGTTACCATCTGACCCAGCAATTCCACTTCTAGGTATATATTCAGAAGAAATGAAAATATATGCCCACACAAAACCTTGTCCATGAATGTTCGTGACAGCATTATTCATAATAGCCAAAATGGAAACATACCAAATATCCATCAACTGATGAATAAACAAACTATGGTATATCAATATAATGGAATATTCTGCAATAAAAAGAATAATTACTGATACATGCTACGATGCTACAGATAAATCTCAAAAATATTCTGTTAAATGCAAAAAGCCAAACAGAAAAGTTCACATTATATGATTTATATGAAATGCCAGAATAGGCAAAACCATAGAGACAGAAAGTAAATCAGTAGTTGCCAGGGGCTGGGAAGAGGACGGAATGGGGAGTGACTGCTAATGGGTATGTGGTTTCTTTTTGGGGTAAAGAAAATTTTCTAAAATTAGAAAATCGCCGGGCATGGTGGCTCATGCCTATAATCCGAGCACTTTGGGAGGCTGAGGCGGGTGGATTACCTGAGGTCAGCAGTTCAAGACCAGCCTGGCCAACATGGTGAAACCCCATCTCTACTAAAAATACAAAAATTAGCTGAGTGTGCTGGCTCACGCCTGTAATCCCAGCTATTTGGGAGGCTAAGAAAGGAGAATCACTTGAACCCAGGAGGCAGAGGTTGCAGTTAGCCAAGATTGCACCACTGCACTCCAACCTGAGCAACAGAGTGAAACTCCATCTCAAAATAAATAAATAAATTAATTTTAAAAATTAGAAAACGGTGATGATTGCATAACTTTGTGAATAAATCAAGAATCGTAAGCCTGTATGCTTTAAAAGGGTGAAGCGTACACATCTTAATTCTATCTCAATAAAGCTATTATTAAAAAATAGATAATAAAATCAAAAATCAAAATGGGAAAATGTCAATAGATTTGATTACCTATGAGTTAAAAAACTTGTTCCATTAAAAACCTGATACATTCTCCAAACTGGAAAAATCTGTGACACACGCCATATTTTATGAAATTGAAGATGCCATTGATCGTACCATTAATTTATATGCCCCTAAGAAAGAAAAACCTCCTAAGATGGGGAGTCTCCTAAGGGAGGCTCACCAAAGCTGGAACATTAAAAGGCTGCATCCTCCAAAATGCACCGGGGGTTGCAGTGAAACCCATGTTTTTCCAATCTTGGCACAGGGCTAAGAAAGGTGAAAAAATCTTTCTTAAAAATTGGAACCACAGCAGGGCGCAGTGGCTTAAGCCTGTAATCCCAGTACTTTGGGAGGCTGAGGTGGGTGGGTCGCTTTAGGCTAGGAGTTCAAAACAGCCTGGTCAACATGACAAAACCCCATCTTTACTAAAAGCAAAAACCAGCTGGGCGTGGTGGTGCATGCTTGTAATCCCAGCTACTCGGGAGGCTGTGGCAGAAGAATCGCTTGAACCCGGGAGACAGAGGTCGCAGTGAGCCAAAATCGTACCACTGCAGTCCGGCCTGGGAGATAGAGTGAGACCCTATCTCAAAAAAAACAAAAAACAAAAAACAAAACAAGGAACCACAAGCTGGTATTCATGTAAGCTTGCAGTCTCAATAAACACTATCTTATAGTCTATTCTAGGCCAAAGAAACCTTGGGCAAATAATTTATGGTGATGTCAATTTGACAGCAATTTTAAGATACCATTGGGAGAGTCAAATGTGGAAGAAAGTTTCCCTTAGAGTGAAATAAGGTTAAAAAAGGGGTTAATATCTTTAACACATGGAATTGATATTAATAATTTGGAAAAAAAAACAGCCAATATAAATGGTCAAATGTTACAAAGCTCAATTCTCAAAGGAACTACAAATGGCTAATAAACATGAATAAGGGTTGAACCTTACCAGTACTTAAGAAATGCAAAATAAATCAATCAGATAACATTTTTTACTTATCAGAGTGGCATAATTTAAAACCACGATGCTGGCTAAGGGCTGGTAAAACACAGGCTCTCATGGGAGCCTTCTGTGGCACAATCTCTCTGTGCAGTTACGTGCATTTTATTACCCTAGTACCCCTTTCTTGGAATCCATTCTAAAGAAATAATCCTAAATTTGGACACAACATTTGTCTGAAATTATGTTCATAAACTAGTAAGAAATAGAAAAAGGAGAAACAATGTAAATGCCCAATACTGAAAGAATGATTAAATAGATTCTGGCAAAAAAAAATAGATTATATCATACTCATATAATTTCAATGTGTTGCAATTTCAAATGGTGCCCTGTAGAATATAAAATGATATGGAAAATATAACATTATAAACTATACGTGTTATAATGCTATGTGAAAAAAGAGTACCATACCTAAAATTGTGTACCATTATGCTATCATTTTAATGTAAATACACAAAGCATAGAAATAAAGATTGGTAGAAAGTACCTCAAAAAAACAGTGGATATCTCTGGGTTGTGGCATTTCAAGAATTTTCATTTTTTTTCATCTTCTTGTATTTTCCAAAATTTTTACATTGCAAGTATTTGACTTTCATTAATTAAAAAATCTCCAATAAATATTACCAGGAAAATTCACCTTATTTAAATATAAAACATGAACATTCTATTTTTTCAGTTGTGTGTGATTAAATTATCATGTTTTAGTTTATGAAATTGGATCACAGAATAGCAAAATGATAAAACAACTATATATAGGGTTATTTTCTCCTTTCACATGTCTTAAAAACTTCCCACAGATACGACATATTAATTGTAGAAAATTTAATAAATATCAATATAAAGGAAAAAAAGAGCCCACATACTCCCTTGATCTGGAATAAGCATTGTTAGCTTTGGGTTTAGTTTCCTCTTCTGTTTCTAGTTACTCAAGGTTTAAAGTTAGGGTATTGATTTGATATTTTTCTTTTTTCTTTCTTTCTTTTTTTTCTGAGATGCAGTCTCACTCTGGTGCCCAGGCTGGAGTAGAATGACATGATCTCGGCTTACTGCAACCTCTGCCTCCCGGGTTCAAGCAAGTCTCTTGCCTCACCCTCCTAAGTAGTTAGGATTACAGGTGCACGCCACCACACCTGGCTAATTTTTGTATTTTTAGTAGAGACAGGGTTTCGCCATGTTGGCCAGGTTGGTCTTGAACCCCTGACCTCAAGCAATCTGCCTGCCTCAGCCTCCCAAAGTGCTAGGATTACCGCGCCCGGCCTCCTTTTTTTTTTTTTTTTAAGGTAAGAGTTTACAGCTATAAATTTTCCTCTGAGCAATGCCTTCACAGCATCCCATAAATTTTTGGTAGGTTTGTTTTCATTTTCATTCATCTCTGAGGTTTTTCTAATTTCCTTGTAATTTCTTCTTTAACTCATGGGTAGTTTAAGAGTGTGTAGTTTAATTTTCAAATACTTGTCAAGTTTTCAGTTTTCACTGTTTATTGATTCATTCCATTGTGATCAGAAAAGATACTTTGTATGATTTCAATCATTTAAAATTTATTGAGACTTGTTTTGTGGCCTAACATATGATCTATCCTGGAGAATGTCCCATGAGAATAACTGCTGTTTTGTATATTCCATTAGAATTCTGCTGTGCATTTAAGATATACACACTGATAACTACATATAAGGTGAATACATCTATATTTAACAAACTAAATGTGCTGCTAACACATCTTTTTTTTATTGGTTGCATACTATCCCATTATTTGACTGTATCATAATATATTTAACCAATATATTATATGGTTGGACATTTAGATAGCTTCTAAATTTTTTCACCACTAAACAGGACTCTAATGATTAGGACATCAATAAACACCAGACTGGGTTACTTAACCATAATTACTAAGTGATAACTGCTGCAGGGAGAGAAATGTGTTAGTTCTTCCAATAAAAATTTTGCAAAGATACATAATGAAATTAGCTGCTAAAAGTTAAAAAAAAAAAAAGATTCGTAAGACTCTTACCTTGAATTTTCTTGAAAACTCTGGAATTCATGAACTTTAGAAATCTGTCTGCATAAAAGCTTGGTCTATGAACGGAAACAGTGTCCTGAAAAGACAAAAAAACAGGATCACAGGGTCACCTCTTAGTGCTCATCTCAAGTCAGAAGAGAGATCTATGCAGTTGGTTCTCTGTTAGCCAACATTCTTAACCAAAGGTGGCCCAGAGATAGAGAACAGGAATGCCCTGTGTCCCACGGGGCCCAGGAGTCTGGGGCTGAGGGAGGAGGGCATAGACTCAATCGGAACAAAGATTCTAGACACTCAAGACCAAACCGAGCAGGGGAGAGTCAGCAAAAAAACTGTGCTACATCAGTCAAAACAGCTGTCCTCATTCACAACATTGTGTCCCGGGAGGAGTTTTTAATTTCTTTTTTTACATACAGGCAATCAGTGCATCAAGTGTCATCTGGAATGAAGGGTAACTCCCTTAATCATGAACAAAAATAGGGGACATAAACAAAACTATCCTAATGTAAGAGTGACATTGACGTTTAAGCTAAAAAATAGTTCTAGTCTCATCTCCCAACAACAAGGTGAGGAGATGCTAGGAGGATTCCTAGGAGACAAGGCTAACAGATGACTCCTTTGCCCTGAATTATCTGCTGATTGCGTAGAGTTGAATTGAATTAAACTGTTAACTCCATTCTTCTCTCGTGCTTGGCAGGAGTCTTTAGGGCTGAAGGGTCATTTGATTACAAATTCAGGAAAGGGGGTGGATGAAGGGAAAGGGGATGGATGCAGGAGCTAATTTTCTATGTTTATTTAGTAATCATTTATCCAAATCATGTATCTAAGCTATACACTTGCAGACATAGTAAATTTGCTTCTATAATGCTTCATTTTGAATTCAGGTTTATGGACTCCAATAGAGAAATTTCTTCTCTTTTTTTTCTTTCTTTTTTTTTTTTTTTTTTTTTTTTTTTTTTTTTTTTTTTTGAGACAGTCTTGCTCTGTTGCCAGGCTGGAGTGCAGTGGCGGATCTCGGCTCACTGCAACCTCCTGCCTCCCGGGTTCAAGTGATTCTCTTGTGTCAGCCTCATGAGTAGCTGGGATTACAGGCACCCACCACCGCACCCGGCTAGTTTTTGTATTTTTAGTAGAGAGGTTTTGACCATGTTGGCCAGGCTGGTCTCAAACTCCTGACCTCAAGTGATCTGCCCTCCTCGGTCTCCCAAAATGCTGAGATTACAGGCGTGAGCCACTGCGTCTGGCCCTGCTACATCTTTTAAAATGTACTCTTTCTGGCCTGAAGTGGACACATTCTTCCAACAAGGCAGTAATTTAGAAATATCAGTAGAAGGCAAGAGCCTAAGGGGTATCCATAGAGGATCAAGGTTCAGCCCTTGCCTATAAAGAGAAGTTACATTGTTGTTCCCTTTGGAATGAATAAACACTGTTTAAGTAAGAGCCATGTCTGAAAAGAAACAAAAATAAGTTCGTGATATATACAGCACAGAAATTTTCATTAAAAAAAATGAAAAACAAATGATAGGTTTATTTATTTATTTATTTATTTATTTAGAGATGCAGTCTTGCTCTGTCACCCAGGCTGGAGTGCAGTAGCACAATCTTGGCTCATTGCAACATCTGCCTCCTGGATTCAAGCGATTCTCCTGCCTCAGCCTCCTGAGTAGCTGGGACTACAGGCATGTGCCACCACGCCCGGCTAATTTTTGTATTTTTAGTAGAGATGGGGTTTCGTCATGTTGGCCAGGCTGGTCTCGAACTCCTGACCTCAAGTGATCCGTCCGCCTTGGTCTCCCTGCAATGTGTTGGGTTTTAAATAGACAAAGGTGGGGGAAGCTTAGAAGCACCTGGTCAGTACAAGACTAGACGATTCATATCCATCTGGTAACAGGAAACTGAAACGGTCTCAGAAAACAGAAGGGGAATGGAATGAGGGTATTCACTCTCTCCCCTTCAATGTTCAAGGTACTATGTATGCAGTCCCTTCCTTTCTCAGCTTGAAGGAAACATAAAATTAACCTACCATAATGACCTTCTTTCACAGGAGGAATTTTTGATTTGAGTAAGATTGGTTAATTCTTTTTTTTTAATTAAAATTTTTCTTTTAGAGACAGGGTCTCGCTATATTCAAGACTGGACTTGAACTCCTGGGCTCAAGCGATCATCCTTCCCCAGTCTCTTGAGTAGCCAGGACTACCAGCACATGCCCCTACACCCAGCTTAGAGGTTAATTCTTGGAAATAAATGTGTGAACCTGCTGTTTAAAAGTGCATTCTGACTGAAGTCAGTCCTTAGCCGGTGGACAAAATGTAGATCTTTCATGCTGAAAGGTTATTAACAGTCTTCCACAGAACTGAGAAATTACGTGTTCCTTTCCAAAAAAGAAGAAGAATATCATCTATAATTTATTCTCTTTCAAAAGAAAGTATCTGCTAACATCTTAAGAGGAAATGTGTGACCAAATCCTTGACAAAAATATTCTTTGGAATTGCTACTTCAAGTTATTAACTTAGGCCAATAAATGTTGTTAGTAGCAGGAAGTAGAAATCTAATGTCTAGATGGAACTGTGTGTATGTGTGTGTGTGTGACAGAGAGAGAGAGAGAGAGAGAGACAGAGAGACAGAGAGACAGAGAGACAGAGACAGAATGTGAGAAAGAAGGAGAGACAAAGATGGGAGAAACTGCTCTTTGATAACTGATGTTTTTCTTCAGTTACATCAATTAAGACATTCTCAGCTTACACCTGCAATCCCTGCACTTTGGGAGGCCAAGGCAGGTGGATCACCTGAGGTCAAGAGTCCAAGACCAGCCTGGTCAACATGGTGAAACCCTGTCTCTACTAAAAATACAAAAATTTGCCAGGCGTGGTGGCACACGCCTGTAGACCCAGCTACTCGGGAGGCTGAGGCAGGAGAATTGCTTGACCCCGGGAGGTGGAGGTTGCAGCAAGCCGAGATCGCACCATTGCACTCCAGCCTGGGTGACAGAACAAGATCCGTCTCAAAAAAAAAAAAAAAAAAAAATAATAATAATAATAATAATAAAGACATCCTCAGGCAGCCAGCATGTATAAATGTTGATGCAGAAATACATACCAATTAAAAAGTTTTCACTTTCTGTGTCTGTGTTTGTTAGGCATTGTGTTGAACACTGAAATGCATTATTTTGTCCCATGCTCACACCAGGCAGGTGTCATTACTATCCCCCTGGTATAGGTGATAAACAAGGGCAAGTGGCCACATAACTAGCACTGTGCCTGGTCACATGGCTAGTTCAGCAGTGAATGCAGAGTTCAAATCCAGGCTGTCCACCATCAGAGTCAGGGCTCACACTTACTGTAGCTTGGTTGTGTGAGAACTTCATTTCAACTGCCCTCCTGATCATCCCTACAGAAAAAGACCCTCTCAAAGTTAGGTCCTTCGGATTTCACACAGACACAGATATCATTTGGTTTTTCTGGCCGCTAGGCTGGATGTCATATATTTGAATAGTTATTCAAATTTATGTTGTCTTTATTCTCAAATTTGAACTGATCTACTAGCCTAAGATTCTGAGTTTATAAAGACCGTTGTTTCATTTCCTCTCAGAGTGTAGCAACACCGTTTTCTGCACATACTCTGAAGTCTCTGAGAAAGCAGAAATATATACAGTGTAATAAGGAAAATAAGTCACTTACCCCATCATAAACAAGAGCTTTCCAGGAATGTTCTAACTTCTTCATTAACCTAAACATCCATGGAAAAATTAAAAAGAGAATGTAAAATCACTCTCATTTGGTGATTTTTCAGGAGCTTTTGTAGATTGATTTTGAAATAATAAAAGACCACTCCTCAAACTTCTTACCTATACGATTGTAGAATGTCAATAATGCCCATAAATAAAAGTAGCTTTTCTCCCCTATGGCTTTTAGCTGGAATGCCTCCCATTCTGTTGATAGAGCAAAAGAGAAAATATTTGATTACATATTATAAGAATAGAAAGTTAAAAAATCATTTCTAATAAATAGACTGAAAATAAAAATAGAGCGTTTTTAAGAATTCTGGGCTATCTCCCACTCATCTTTTTTTTGTTTGTTCTTTTCTTTTTGTTTTTTGGGCATCAGTTAAGGTCATCCTGGGAATCCAGAATGATGTATTAATACTTCCCTACAAAGGAGAATAATATGATAACTGCTAACTCTGAAGAGCTGGATGGGAAGAATTCAATTTAAAACTTGTTCCTACTTTAAACTATGAGCAAGAATTTTTAGACCATTATAAAATATTCCTTTTAAAAATGCAATACCTTTTTTTCTGATCAAAAGAGTAATGTATATTTACTTTTAAAAATAAAATACAGAAAAACACAAAGGAAAAATATAATTAAACAGTTATTCCTAGGATGCAAAGATAACTACTATTAACATCTGGTACAGTTTTCTAGTATATATGTATGTGTGTGTGTGTATTAGTCGAGAAAGGGTATTATTTATTACATTTTTTACTTGCTAAATGATAAACATTTCCTTATATTCAATGCTAATGTGGTTTTTAATAGCCTTATTGTATTTCACTGATACAGGATAATTTAACTGATTATTGGACATTTAGATTGATTTGCAAGAAATAACTTTTCAAAAAAGATTTAATATGTGTTAATTTTCTTTACAAAAGTGAAATATGCCCATGGTTTAGTCACTGTTGGAGAATTCTAGAAGGCAGGCATTTATGGCCGTGGAAAATGATTTCTTTCTTCCAGTCTCCTTGCTCAGCTAGTACGCATACCTGATGCAGTCTACCATTTCAATAACTTACTTTGGTTGCAATTGTTTCTGTTAGTCAATATGCACTTTATACATGCAAATTAATCCTGTAGTTACTATCACATCTGGCTGAGGTGAGAGACCACATCTGCCAGGGTACAAGACTAGAACAACAGAATCCCCTTAGGCAGATAAAAAGCTCTGAATTGCAAACATCATTCTCATTGTGTATTTGCTTAAAACATCTTTATTCAGGCTGGGCTCAGTGGCTCATACCTATAATCGCAGAACTTTGGGAAGCCAAGGCAGGTGGATCACATGAGGCCAAGAGTGTGAGACCAGCCTGGGCAACATGGTGAAACTCCATCTCTACTAAAAATACAAAAATTAGCCAGATGTAGTGGTGCATGTTTGTAATTCCAGTTACTTTGGAGGCTGAGGCAGGAGAATCGCTTGAACCTGGGAGGTGGAGGTTGCAGTGGACTGAGATGGCACCACTGCCCCCCAGCCTGGGTGACACAGGGAGACTCTGTCTCAAAAAAATAAAAAATAAATAATAAAACATGTTTATTCAAATTCAAAGTTTATTCTTTCCTCTTGCGGTGAATGTTTTGAATATGTAGTTAATGGGGACAAAAACATTTTCAGCCATTGTTTAAAAAAAAAAATGGAGCCATTTGAAAAAAGATACCAAGTGGGTGAAGGAGTAATAACTGGAGGAACTGCCACTCATCTAGTTATCTTTAAATGAATAGAAATGGAGACCAGTTTAACCCATTTTAGCACCAAGTAGAAATTAGTTCCTGGAGTCCCACCCTAAGGTGAATGTGACTGTCTATAATTACCCAGTGACGTGGGCTACCACAATCAAGAGGGTGGATGGGTGTGTGGCTGTACTTACGTGTCTGGGTTCTCTGTGATTATCCCATCTCCAGATTTCCCTGGACCCTGGATAGATTCCATGGCTGTTGAGTAGAGAACCTTCTGCATCCCAGGCCGCTTAGCATCAGGCACATTTTGTGAGGTCTCCTCCTCTTTCTCTTTGAGGGAATGGTCCAGGAAATGAATTCCCAACAGAAGGCTATAGTCCATGATCTTGAAGCTTTCCAGCACCTGAATGAGAAAAAGAACCAGGAAGCCAGTCAACCCAAAGGTCTGTTCGTCTCATCTACTCATTATCAGAGAGCTCTAGATATACAGACACACAGCTCCTGTTATTCCTCCCACGGGGGTGGCTGAGAGATGAAGAATCAAAATAAAATCACTTGAGGTTATTATTAGGCCACATGCAGGAAGGATTATCATAATGGCTCCAAGATGGGAATTTTATGCAAATCTGAAACAAGCACATGTTTTCTCAACCCTCCATAAAAGTTTCGCTAATAGCACGGATTGAGTGCTTTCCATGTGTCTGTGTTACAAAGCTCATTTGCATTCAATCTTCTCAACAACTCTATAAGCTAGGTACTACTATTGTCTCTGTTTTACAAATGAAAAACTGGAGGCACAGAGAGACAAGGTAATCTGCTCAATATCACACAGCACATAAGTGACAGAGACCCAAGCAGTCAACTCCAGGGTCCACACTCTTAAGTAGTAAAGCAGAGAAACCAACAACCAATAGTTTCTACAAGCTTGTATCTTTCTCAGCATGAAGACACAGCTAGAATGTGTCTGTCTGAATTCTGTTCTCATAATCTTAAACTTGTTGGAAGCTAGTGGTTTTCTTCTCAAAACCTTTTTCTTTTCTTTTTTTTTTTTTTTTTTTGAGACAGAGTCTCGCCCTATCGCCCAGGCTGGAATGCACTGCTCACTGCAACCTTCGCCTCCTGGGTTTAAACGATTCTCCTGCCTCAGCCTCCCGAGTAGCTGGGACTACAGGTACCCGCCACCGTGCCTGGATACTTTTTGTATTTTTGGTAGAGATAGGGTTTCGCCACGTTGGCCAGGCTGGTCTTGAACTCATGACCCCGTGATCTGCCTGCCTCGGCCTCCCAAAGTACTGAGATTACAGGTGTGAGCCACCGCACCCGGCCCTCAAAGTGCGTCTTTCGAAGGTGCCGTTCAGTTTCCTGTCGCAAGTCCTTTAAAAACATATAATCTCAACAAAGCATAGTACTTCATGTTTAATAATCCACTCAGCAGACAGTAGGGAGGCAAGGGAATTAAAAATAGTTGGATCCAGCCAGACAAAAGAGATGGCAATGCTCTGAAAAGAAAATGACAGGAGACAAGGTCTAGGTCCGAGTCTGTTGAGATGGCTTCAGGGTATAGGTGGGGCTTTGACACTCAGGACCTTTTCAGTGTTCAGGAAGAATGCCTGCAAACGGGGTGTTTTCCTCTATGATAAAGTTCTTTTTCTACTAGTTTGTATGATTCTCCCCTACAACAGACTTCTTAATACCTGGTATTTCTCACCCAAAGCTGCGCAGAAAAGTAAGACAACCCTGGTTGTCAGCACAGCTGTCTCTGAACCAACATGAGAAGCTGTTCCTATACTTTAGCTAGGAAACACCTTGAAGGATCATAGCCTATAGATCATTGTTTAGGGATAAAATAATCCAGAATTTCTTATGCTTCTTGTTCTTGCTCAGCCCAACTGCCTTTTGATATTTATGATATAGGAAAGAGGGGATCAGGCCTGAAGATTCAGTTACCTGTGGCTGCCACTTCATGGATGCCACCTGAGAAAAGGCTTTGTGAACTATGGCATGTGGCCTTCGAAAAATATGGTTATTCTGCATTACAGGCATCTTTGCCATCAATGAGAACTAAGAGTGCGCTGCAAATGAGTATCAATTATTCCAGAGGGTTCACGCTTCTTCTCTCAAAAAGTCAAGTTCAGAAGGGAGTCAGGCAGGAGCTGAGAGTAGAATCTTATCACTTAAGAGGTGTTGGCTGTGGGATTTTCTAACCCAAGTGATCTAAGAGTAGCCTGATAACAATGTGGAACCAGCCTTCCTAATCGAAGGAGGAGTGATGTCAAGATTGGAGGAGGAAGGGAGGGGTGATGGGAAATGCTTCTTACCACCGATCCAATGCTTGAGTACCAGACCCTTTGGTTGGTTCTCTATGGAGGTGTATCAGTGCCTTACTGCACCATACGGTAGCACAGACCATGGGAGAAAGAAAGACTGTTTTACATCAGGAGCACTGAGGGCCAGACTCTTAAAAGAAAACACTAACAGATGTTGGATGCTTTCTTGGCAGACAGAAGTAAGTGGTAGAAGGGCCTTAACCTTTCTAATTCTCAATCATACTGAAATGATGGCTTGCGAACAGTACCCACCCAGACAGCTTCAATAACTCTTCACAATGAATGACCATCTGCAGATGCTAATTTCCCTACTCATATTTATCAGTGCTAGTGCTTCCTTTCTCAGAGAGACTTGGATAAGGACATGGGGGATGGGCGATGAAGAGCATGGACTCTATGACCTTAGGCAGGTCACATCATCTCCTTGTGTCTCAGTTTCTTCATCTGTAAAATGCTGACAATATTACCTATCATATAGGGTGCTTGTAAAAGTTAAATGTGGCAATGCAAGTCAAGTGCTTAGAAAAGTCCCCAGCATAAAGTGTTTAATTAATTGCTAGCTCTTATCACTATGATTATAATTCACGGTAACTTATCCCTCACACTCGCTCAAGAGACAACAGGTGTGAGCTTGAAGTAAACATTCCTAGAATTACACTTCTGAAAACAAATGTCACTAAATTAGCCAACAAAAATAGAACTGTATTGCTGGCCTGCTTACCAGTGTCATTTTGGCAAATCCCAATTCCTTTAGAAGCTCTGGGTTTGTGGATACCAAGGAGTATGGCCTGGATGGCTGACAACACAGGAATTTTCAATTGGCAAAAACACAGTCTTGTGCCCTGCGCAGCCCAAAGCACCCATTTGTCAATGTTTCCTCCAAAGCAGTAAGCTGGCTTCAAAAGCACGTTGTAATAAGACTCTGACAATACTGTGGATGTTCCTAACAGGCACCCAGAATCATTTATTCAAGTTAGGAGTGGTCAAGCTTAAAAGCATCCTGACACCATGATTTTCCTCTGCAAAGTATCCATGAATTAATTCTGCTTGTTAAAAAGCTTTTTTAAAAAAAAAAAATAAAATGTTTTTCTTATATTGTCATGCAATATTCAACCTCTGAAAAGCATTTTCCTCAGCAAAGCATCCATAAATTGTTAAGAAGTTTTTTTAAAAAATGAAATACTTTTTCTTATATTTTTCTTGCAATATTCAACCTGAACCGTATGTTTTGTACTTGCAGTCTTGTTCCCTGCCCATGACCAGGCCTAAGAGAACTGGGCAATTTTATAGGTGAGACAAAGTCAGGCTGTATGGTCTAACCTGAAGTATTGGATAAAGTAAGACGCTATTCTGATGCTGTAAGGGGCCCTTTTTTTTTTTTTTTTAAAGAATAAATTCCAAGAGAGAATTAACTTTTGAAAAAGTGATAAAAAATATTAAAAAGAGCTTCATCTCCTCTGTGCTCTTCTATTGGATTGCCAGCATCTGGAAAGGGGGCTGAGTCGTCCTTGTGAGGCCAAGACCCCTACTTACAGAATGGAAGGCTTAAAAAAAAAATTCTATCCCCATATGTGGAAAGCTGACCACTGCAGTTAGAGTTTGGGTTAGGAAAAATCACCATCGATTAAGAAATCTGAAGGAACAAAAAGAGAAATGTATATGCATATATCTTAAAACAAATTAAAAGGCTTCTGTAATGAGAACTTCTGGGAACAGATTTTAGTCACGTATTTTTAAGATTTGCATCAATTAGGAACAAAATAGTTCCGTTACTCATATCATCCTAGTCCTTTAATTAAAAGAATTGATAAATCTGCGAACAACTTAACATGTGTGAGCTTTAAGAGTGAGCGACATTCTGCAACATGACAGACACCAGTTGGTCCAGTTCATCATTCAGGTGCACATTTCCAGAATGTCTGGCTGACCTTGCTGTTGCTGGTGGATCTTGTACCTGTGCATTTGCTATTCAAAACTCAGGTTAAAATGCAAATACAGGTGCCTTTCCGTCTAGCTCTGGCAGGACTTTACTTCCCCACTTGTAAAAAAAAGGAAACAGGAATGATTCACAGAACTATTTAAAACTGAAAAAGCAAGTTGGAATACTGCAAGGCTTTTTATTGCCAAAGTCAGATTCTTTCTTCCTTCTCGCTCAAGGACTAATTTAAGTCAATAACAACACTGGAATGTAGTAAAAAAGTCAATGTCAAAGTCAATGTCAAAGCAGCTGATAGAGTACCCTGAAGACATGATCAAAAACTACCTGTTCCTGAAATAAGAGCATATTCCTCAGGTTTTCATGGCTGGCGATACATGAGTGCTCTTGTAACTTCTGTAGATTTGGGGACCTAATGTGGAAATATCCTAACTCAGAATCATAGGCATTGCCATCCCCTCTTTATGACTAAAGACTACAAAGAGCAGCTGGTCCTCCTTTTGCTTTTGCATCTTTAATACCACACTCCTTAGCCCACTAAACGATCTTCTGTCCCGTTGCTAGCAGGAGCTGGTGTGGCTGCAGGGTGGTTAAGACTCCTTGCTCTGGAACCAGATGGCCTGGTTTGACTCATGGCTCCTCCACTTGTTTGTTTTTGGGCTAAGTATCTAATATTTCTGGCGTCTATTCTCACCTGTATTATCTCTATAATAAGGATTCCTACCAAATAATTCCTACCAAAGTTATTGTGAAGATTAACTGAGTTAATCCATGCCAAGTCTTAGGCACACAAAAAGCACTCAATTAATGTCAGCTATTCATGTTATTCCTCCATCCGCAGAATCAATCCCTGTGACCACCCCACCTTGAATCTCCCCTCTCCCTTAGCTATTGTGCCCTGGCTTCTCTTGGTTCTTTGTCTTTCTACTTGACTTTCCCACTTTTTCTTCCTGTGCCCTAAAGGTGTTCACTAAAGTTCTCTAACTCTTTTCTCTACTTTCTAGTACTTACATTCATTGACTCTTTTGTTGGAAAAAAAAAAAAGTTTGAGTGCCACGCACTGTGGAAGTTGATGGATCTTCAGGGATAAATACAACAGATAACTATTCCATATTGAACATTAAACAAGCCCGAATTACA